TTTTAGTGTCAAATAACTTTCTCCCGAATAAAACTCCCTTTAGATGGCAATGATAGGACATGCATTTAGAAAGCGTACTAATTACTACTGTGACAATAAAATCATAAACCAAAGAGAAAATAGATGGGACTTTGTCAAAATTTAAAATATTTGTGCTTGGCTTCTGGTCAAAATTGCAGAATAGACAGTCCCCAGCATACTCTCTCCCACAAATCAACCAATTTACAACTATTAAAAAGCAACAACCACCAAGTTGGGGCCACCAGAGCTCAGGGGAAGAGGAGAAGAGACCTACAGAGTTCATGAAGGCAGCAGAAGCCACGATGAGAGAAAGAAAAGATCACTCCCACCATTTCAAGCCCCAGCTACTTCAAGGCTGGCCCTGATGAGCACACAGAGCGGGAGCTGGCATATGCCACTGCTGTGCCCTTCAGATGAAGTTGCTTGGAGGGTGCAGGAGAGAAGAGGGCCTTAGTGGCCCTGAGGCCGGCAAAATGACTAATAGGGTTCCCATGGATCCACACAGAAGTGAGGAGCCATAGACAACAGGAAAAAAGGAGCCACTCAGAGGCCGGTGAGTTATCACAAGGAACCAGTGCACGGCCCATCCTATGGGAAGTGTTTGGTGTGCAGGGAGTAGGGGAGATGGGCCCACCAGGGGAACACTGGGGTACAGCATGGACAGCTGATCTGCCCCCCAATCAGCACAGGCCCACTCAGTGGAGACTGGTTAGGAATATAGAATTGCAGGGGGTGCAGTTTCCTGAAAAGACTCAGGTCCAGACCAGAGTTTCCACACAACCCAGGTGTACCAGACCTCATGAAACCTGGAAGTACATACAAGGTCAACAATTAAAACCTGAGCTGCACAAAAAGCCTTCCCTAAGTAATCAGCAGCAAAGCAGCAATTTAGCTCAACCACAGGGCTCAAGTGCTGGTCCCTACAGGAAGTTCCCCAATTTTAGAAGTAAGAAAAGGACAACAAATCAATTCCAGTGCAGAGTTTAAGTGGTGGGAACAGCAAATAATCCAACACAGAATTGAAAGAAAAAACAAAATACCCACAGATCAGAGACAAAGTTTGATATTAACTAGTAAAGGTCTCACATCACCAAAGAACACCTATAAAACCTAGAAGAACTAGAAGCCCCCTGAGTTCCCAAGCCAGGGAGTGGTAGGGTTGAGGGCCTCAGCCACACCCCTGCCCCAACATCTGCAACCAGCCCAGCAACAACCACCAAGTTTCTGCAGGAAGTGCCCCAGGTTCCCAAGCCAGGTCAATGCGGGACCTAGGGCTTCAGCCACTCCTTCCTGACATCTGTATCCAGTCCAGTAATGATCCAGCTGCTGCTAGAAGCTTCCTGATCTCCCCTGTGGGAACAAGGTTGGGGCCATGGGCCTTGATCACACCCCCCTCAGTCCCCCTCTTCCCACCATATTTCCCCTCCCCCTTTCCTTCTCCTTCTCCCCCACCATCGCTCTGCAACAACATCTTAGAATGAGGTGTGGAGCCAGGGGAAGCTGAACTCAGCCACAACCAGGTAAGGAGCACACCAAAAACACCATTTTCATGCAGGTAGCCCACCACAGCCACTGCAATTGCCATGGCTGCTGCAAAAGCACCTAGTCTCTATAGCAGCAGTCACAGCCACCATGCAGATGGCACGCCACACTCTCAACTGCACTGACACAAGGAGAGGCATCAGCGGAGACCAAAAAGAAAAAAAAAGAAGAAGAAGAAGAGGTCCTCTGTCTCCACAAAGCACACTCCAGAGTAATAAAAGAAGCATCTGATTTATGATAATAGGGGAGGACTTGATCACACCTGTCTCAGTACTGGACAGATCATCTAAGCAACAAATCAACAGAGGAACAGTTAATCTATCAGACGGAGAGAACAAATCTATGGTTATTGGGGGGGGAGATTGGATAAGGGGCATAAAAAATAAGTATGATTTGTAACAATGAATATGCTAATAAAATTTAAAAATTTAAAAAAGAATGCTATGAGCTACAAAAAAAATAAAAATTATGCCTCAAATGGCATCACTAAGAAAGTGAAAAGACAACCCACAGAATGGGAGAAAATATTTACAAATCCTGTCTGATAAGGGACTTGTATCCAGAATACATAAAGAAGCATTACAACTCAATAAGACAAGTAACCCAATTAAGAAATGAATAAATGATCTGAGTACACATTTCTCCAAAGAAGACATTTTAAAAAGACCAACAAGCATATGAAAAGATGCTCAACGACATTAGTCACCAGGGAAATGCAAATCAAAACCAGAATGAGATACCACCTCACACCCACTAGGACAGCGGCTATGTCAAAAAGGTGGACAGTAACAAGTGCTGGCTGGGACGGGGAGAGATTAGAATCCTCATGCATAGCTGGTGGGTGTGAGTGCAGCCACTGTGAAAAATTATCTGACGGTTCCTCAAAATGTTAAGTATGCAGTTACCATATGACCCAGAAATTCCATTCCTGGGTGTTTACCCAAGAGAACTGAAAACGCATGCACACACAGAAACTTGTATATGAATGTTCATAGCAGCATTATTCATAAAAGCCAAAAACTGGAATCAATCCAAAAGTATATCAACTGGTGAATACATAAATAAAATGCTATTCATCCATGCAATGAAATATTATTCAGTGACAAAAAGGAATAAAGTACTGACATGTGCTACAACATGACTGGACCTTGAAAACATTATGCTAAGTGAAAAAATCCAGCTGAAAAAGACCACACATTGTAAGATTATATTTATATGACATGTCCAGAACAGGTAACTCTATAGAGAGGGAATGTAGATTAGTGGCTGCTTAGGGCAGGGGACAGAGTGGAAAGGGAGTGACTGCTAATGGGTACAGGGTTTCTTTTGGGGTTACTGGCTATGGTGGTGGTTGCACACCCCTGTATGTATAATGAAAAATCAATGAATTATGTCCTTACAGTGAGTGAATTTTATGGTTTGTAAATTATACCTCAACAGAGCTGTTAAAAATAAAAGGCAAACACATAAAGAATTTGAATAAAATTGATTTAATAAAATGACACACACACACAAGCATTGAGGACATTCGCTGTACACACTGCACAAAAGAAACCCCTGCACACAGCCTCAGAGCCGATATCCACTCTGCGGCTGTGGTGAGGGGTCGCTCTGAGCTCGAGTATTTGCTTCTAAGTTAGTGTGGTCAGTTCATATGTCCTTAAATGAAGCCATTGACACATCGGTTTTTCTCCTTTGAAGGGATTCTTTTATTGCTCAGTAACTTCATCAATCCCCCGAGGCACTTTATCGGTTCATTTTCACAGAAACACAGATCGCCAACCATTCATGTAACAGCACGATGTTCACAGCACACATGCCACAAGTTCAAGGTTCTATCTGACATCACACACAGAGCACCCTGTGGGCTGCAGACGTGACTCCACTTCTGTGGTCGGCACCTCCTTCACAGACAGCCCACCCGCAGAGTGGTGGGGGCGCCTCATGACGTCTCCGTACGGAGTTCTCAACTCTGTCTATTCAACTGGGCACCTCCCTCTTTACACGGGGTAAGATGAGGAGTAAAATGAGAAGCAAAAACTCCAGTGGAGCACTCCAGGTGAAGCCCTCCAGAGCAAACAGAGTTTCCTTGAGGACAGTGGCCACGCCTCACTTATGTCCCCAGTGCCCAGCACAGAGTTTGTCCCTTTGAAAGTATGCTGAATGCTTGTTACGTGACAGGATGGATGGATGGATGGATGGACGGATGAATGGACGGATGGATGGATGGGTGGATGGAAGGAGAGAGACAGGGAAATGGATGGATGGAAGGAAGGAAGATGGATGGTGGATGGGTGGGTGGATGGGTGGATGGAGAGATAAATCAATGGGGAGATAAATAGTTGAGTAGATGAGTAGATGGAAGGAAAAAAGGAAGGTGAGGGGGATGAAGGAAGGAAGTGAGGGAGGAAGGAAGTGAGAGAGAAAGAGGAGATGGATGGACAGATGGACGAACAGCTGGATGCGTGGGAGAATGAATTACAGAGGTCCCACCACAGGTGTCCTCTGACTACTCAGGAGAACAGCAGGTGTATTTCCAGAACTTGGGGCTGCTGGTCGTCTTCTCACCACCCCAAGGCTCCAGGCTCCAGGAGGGGCTTTATTACATCCCTAAAAAGGTAAAACCCTGTTTCTCTGTCAACCTCTTCAGAATCCACCAGCAAAAGAACACAAGGGAGGTGTCACCCTCACTCCTGAAGTGATCTGTAACCCTTCATTCCCCACACAGTTGCTGATGGTGACAGACAGCTCTACTGTCAGTAGTGGCACTGGGGACACAAGGAACAACCAGGCAGATGCAGGGTGACCCTGGCAGAGGCTCGTGGAGCCACAGCCGGTGTGCTCACTGTTCTGCCACATGGGAAGGGGAGGCAGAGGTGGTCAGGAAGGGACACCTGAGCTGAGACCAGATGTATGAGCCGGAATTAGCCTGACCGACAAGGCCTACGAGCGTGTGTGCACACAAGTGAGCACGTGTGTGTGCGCATGTGCAGAGCGAGGGGCATGAGCACAGACCCTGAGGCTCCACAAGCCCCAGCAGGGACAGCAGGGCCCACCACAACAGGCCCCAGGGCTCTCCAAAGGTGATGATAAGCCATAGAGGGGTTGGGGTGCCCTCGGTGACGTGAGGGGCTGGCCCGTGGCATGCCTACCCCAAGAGGGCCTACTGACAGGGGCGAGGCTGCGCCCAGCTGCGGAGTGAGCACCACGTCCGCTCGGGGTCAGGCTCCTGGGCTCCAGCAAGCAGCTGGACTCGGGCCTCCCCCGCGTGAAAGGCGGCAGCACCAGGGGCAGCTCCACCCTGCCGGCCCCCATGGGGTCTGCGGCACGGCCCTCGGCTGGGCTCTGCATCCCCACAGTGGCCGAGACATGCCACCAAGCAGGGCTCTGCAGGTATCTGAGAAGCGGAAGCCATAGTCACATTTGAGTCAGGCCGATGTGTTTGGTTACTTTTACTACAACAAGCCTTTCCACTCAAGGCCACCAACTACTAGCGGGGCCGTCAGTCCAAGTCCCCATCCAGCAACTTCCCATACAAATGAGGTGATGGCTGAGCCCACCTGGAGCCACTCAGAGCCCTCCTGTCCAAAGGCTGGATATGAGCTCAAAAAGGAATGTGTCTCCCCAGAAAGCTCTCTGGTCTGTGGCCCGGTGGTCACCACGAGACCGGTGTGCACAGAGCTGGAAAGGCCTTCTGCAGCACAGATGGGGACAGCAGCCCTCGCTGAGCTTCCTTATACTGAGGAAAGAGGTACGTGCAGGACGACATTCATGCGGTCCCAGTGCAGTCTTACACGTACCCCAAGAAAGACAATCCGTAGTAGGTTTAACAAATGAGTTTCTGAAACCTTTTTGGAACTGCCAACAATTCACATGGAAAAATGGCCTTTAATTAAGCATGAAGCGCTTTCTCAGGCTTTCCAGTACGTGAGCTCACCCCGGAAGCCTGAGGCAGGCAGGGCCTTGTAGCCACTGTCTCTTGGGAGGTGACCAAGGAAAGTCCAGCAAGAATGCCAGGCCAGCCCACGGCCACGTGAGCTCTCAGACCCCGATCCCACTCAGCCCAGGACAGGCCTCTGGACAAGGCCCAGCGGGGCCTCAGGAGGAGTCAGGGACTGGGCTGCACATGATTCCACCCCAACTCCCCTTCCAGCCTGGTGGCCACCACAGTGCCCTGGGCTCCCTTCCTCTCCAGCTCAGCCCAGGAGGGCCTCACGGGCAGCCCAGCTCCCGCTTCTTCCATTCTACAATCTCAGTCATTCTCTGTGTTTTCCAGTTCTTCTCCACGGACCCTCTCCTAAAATCAAAAAGAATCCACAAAGCATTCCACTGAAACACTGTAACGGGGTTATCCAGACAGTCTGGGGCTGGACACTCAGGGCCCGCGGGTGTCCTGGCCTGCTTGTCCTTGCACTCCATGCTGTGATTCAGAATGGATAAGCCAGGGTCAAACACCCGGCCAGCCACAGGGAAACCACATTTTGTACATAAGATGCTCTGAGCACATATTTACTGCATGGAATTGAAGGACAACCCAACCCAGGAGATCCAAGAAAGAGCAGGGCAGGGAAGTGCTTTTCCAAAAGCTGGCTCTCTGTGTTTGGCAGTGCAGCCCCAGATCCACAGCCACAGTGTCTACAACACACTGGACACCTCCTGCCTCCTCTAGGAGCCTTCCAGGTTTAAAAGGAAAGTCAGGGATCAGCAGAAGACATCAAGTATAAAACTCTCTGTTCGGTCACCTGGCAGGGTCTTAAGTTAGCCCATCTTTCCTTGGGAATCCAAAGAAAATGAAAGCTCCCTTCTGCCAGATGGCTAGAGCTAATGTCTGACACAAAGCAGCTTTCTAAAATGATCCAAAACTTTACTAGGATATTTTATGCCTTCTGTGTTGAGTCTTCTATCCCAGCACAAGTTACTTTCCAAAGTAAGCAGTATCCCGCCACAATGTACAACTGCCATGTTTGGGAGTTTAAAATAATTATCAAATCTTCAAGGATTGGCGATCAAAGACGTTTCTGTACCAGAGTGTGGACGTTATCACCATTACCCCATGTGGAAAAGTGTCTGGCTTGGCTTCAGGAAAACCCAAAATCTTATAAAATACTGAGCAACAAGAAGCCACTAAGAAATATTCAGTAACCATCCTACTCCAAGATTCTATTCTACGACCACTCTGGATTATACAAAAACTTAGGGCCATATTCCATTGTCCAACAAGCTGGGCTTGCAGGGCAGGGGTGGGGGTGGGGGGAGAGAAAAATCTGTCTTGCTTTTGTTCTGCTTGGAAGACACTGGTTCATGGCAGAATTTGAAATTCAGATTTTTCAGTATTTCCTTTAACAGTGCAAGGTTAAGGCCAACTCCCATGTGTTCACTGTTTTGTTTTGGCTTCGTTAGAGCTTGCCTTGCTTAGAGAAGAGGATCATGAAAAGTCTAATTACAAAGACCCCTCCTCACAGTTCCCTCTCCCCACACGGCATGGAGATTTCAAGAGCAAATCAACAGCCCATGGAGCAGCCACAGCCAAGTGGCCTGGGAAGCTGCCTGGCGGGTGGAGACCACAGCTCCACTAAACAGGACGTGATTACTGAGAAATCAAGATGCTCACGGAATGACTCAAAGACATACCTTGCTGCCGTCTCTACTGGAGGACTGTCCAGGTCCGTCCTCTTGAGAAATCCACCCCTGACCATTCATGTCCTCCTCAGGATTTCCGGGGTGAGCTGTCCTCCCCATGAAAGACAACAGAATCAGCAAACGGGAGCCCCTCCCAAGCGCTGGACAACCGAAAGGTTGATAATGCGCTGGAGACCCTTCCGAGCATAGTAAAGGCCATGACCCAATTCCACCTCCTTGACCTCCACTTTGACTCCTGCTACAGTGCTTCTGAGAGGACAGGAAGACTGGCCAGCTGTCAGGAGAGACGAAGGGTTCTCCTCAAGCACTTCCAAGCCCGATTTGGAATCTGTTCTTCCAATGACTCGGAATTCAAGTCAGGTTTCCAGTTCTATTCCTAGGCCCTTCTCTTGCTCATTGGTGTTTTCACTCACAACAGAGGCCATAATCACCCGTGTTAATTTAGCCTCCCTACCAAATCAGCCCCAGCCACCCACTAAATCAACACCAGCCTCCTACCTGTTCAGATCCCTAGAAAAAAAATATGCAGAGTTTTGCATTTGAGCTGAAAATACATATGTAACACATTTTGTTAATAAGAATAAATGTATTACTTAGTTGTTATCTATATAAGTAAATTTTTAAGTTTATTTACAAAACTATACAAATTAGCAAAATTTGGCCTGGCAAACTTTAATTATAAGCACTTAAAAACACTCAGCACACTTTAGTTCCTCTGATACATAGAAACTTTACATCACACAGTAGTAGAAGCCCAGGTCCTTAGCTTAGAAATGCAGTCAGAGGCTCAGTCAGCCTTATGCACCACTGTACCCCTAACACCTAGGATAGTTCCTGTTGTATGTAGATGCTCCACTAACAGTTATAAAATGAAGAAAGGAAGGAATATATGAAAGAATGAATGAAGTAGATAACTCATTATCAATTTTCTACCTTTTCCATGTTTTTATGTATTATGGACTAAATCATGCTAACAGATACCAAATATTTATTTGTATTTTATCCTTAACCAATTAAGGTTCAATACATCTTTTAAAATGAATTCACTAATTTGGATGCAGAAGTGTATCTGAGAACCAACATCACAGGTTAAGTCAAAGGTAAAACACCCAATACCGTCCAGGGCTGCAGTAGATGGCAATGGCCACTAGAGAGAGCAATGCGACCTGTCAAAGAGCAGCGTTAGCCAGAAAAAACACATCACCAAGTGGGTTTGCTTTCATGACTTCCAGCACTGTGTACCCCCGTAAAGTTGCCATTGCTGCTGCTATATATAATATACAACACATCAGAACAAGCTGAAAGAAGGTTAGGACTGTGGCCTGCTAGGCATCAGACTTTAGAAAAGTGACCCCACTTCCCCAGCTCAAATTTTTCACATCTCTTTATGTACAATCTCTCTGGTTTAAAAAATTAAATGTAAATGGAAGAAAATTTCATTTTCCCTATGGATGACTATGAATTCATTAAAAATTCACCTGGAGAAAGAAAACAAAACTATGACCTACAGAATGAAAAAATAAATTTTTAAGTTGTGTGCAATTATTTCCTGCCTCCAGCAACATTTTTGTAAAAGAACATTTCACTGTTGACATATTCTATTTCAATTCCTCCAGTGAAGAAACTTAAGGCACATGCTGGCTGACCAGGAAATCCCATCAGTTGAAATTATGATCCTGTTGGTCAGGTTTCAAAGGCATCGTATGTAACTGAGTGTAGGAAGAAAGATATTTCCCACAAACTCCTTCTTTCAAAAGGTCTGAATAATTTGTAAATATTGTCAGGGCCATTATAAGCCACAGATGTTATCAACAGCCAGAATCACGAACACTTTAAAAGACTTAATCCACAAATGCGGCTGCTTCAAAAATAGATTTTAAAACAATTTAAAGGAGCACAAGTTAATTTCCCTTTGAAATGTTGTAAAATGTTCCTGCCTTATTTAGAGTAAGTAGCAATCAGCTCCACTGGGCTTCTTGCTTACAGTTCTACTTCTACGGCTCGTGAAATTATAGGAAAGGAATGATCAGACATAAAGGGAGAAAATTTGAAAAACAGAACAAGTCAAGAGAGCAACTCTAAGAACTACTGACTAATTAAAGACTAAAATTAAATTAAGCGGCCTAGAGAGATTTCCTGAAACGAGAACATTCGGGAATTTGTACCATTTGGTGACTATGGGCAGTTCTAAGCCACTAACACTTGCTGATTTCCATGAAGGGAGAAATAGCTAGAACCGAGCTGCAAAGCGGCTGGATAACATGAGACTGTATTTGCAGTCTCCACTCACCAACTTGGAGAAAACCTGAGATGTCAGTACTAACTGACATACAGCGGCCAGATGAAGCTGGTTGGCCAGAAACCTTCCTGAGTGAATTAAAATCCCGGCTGAGGGCCCCAGGGGAGACAGAAGTTGTGGGTGAAACTGCAGACTAGCCATGATTTACACAGGGAGTGAAAAGACTGTAACTTAGAATTATTTTTTTTAAATTATAGCGTTTTAGTAATCTAATTATATCCTAATTATAATGATGACCCTTCTTCCTTCACGGGATTCAAGCCTGCTTCTGGAACATTCTGTGTGAGTCCCCTCATTTACTGTTTTAAAGTGAGAGTTGGTGAGTTTCAGAGTGAATTAAAGTGACAGGTTTGGCATCTGATTTCCAGCTCAGCTTCCTCTGCTCCGACCACACCGACTCCCAGCTCTTGAAACAAGCCCCAGTGGAATTCTCCGGGAGGAAGCCATCTCCCCAATTAGGCAAAAACGTCCTCCCTATCTTACCCCCTCCAGCCTGTGCAATTTCCACATTCCGATACGCAATCTTGTTTTTCTTTTTTCATTCCCAGACAAGGAATTGCAATATCCAAACACAAGGCTGGGCATGGGGGCCGCAGCCTCATTTGCAAAGCTCGTCCATAAACCTGTGCGGCTGGGCAGCTCAGTGCCAGGGATCCAGACCGGCTTCCCTTCATTCCTAACTCAATACCACAGGGCAAGTCCCCTTTCTGCCTCATTAGGAACACAGTCACAGCCCTGCACAGCCTCCTTCCCTGGTACCTGGTCACCCCATTAATATCTGCAAAGACCTATTAAGCCTTCTAGCTGAAAGGCACCATGAAAGCAAAACCTATCACTATTATCATCCATAAACTCCAAGGCACTCTTGCCTGTCACCACCTAGGGCGAATCAGTTACCTACGTGAAGAGGAAGCCAGGTACCTCTGCCTGCCCGTCAGCCCTCTAATGAGCCACCTAGAGCCGATAATGACAGGAGCTCCCGTTCTGGGATGGAAGGAAAGCCAATGCTTTCATTTTGGATGGTTAATTTAAACTGTTAGACCCTCCCCTTGCCTTCAGCGCTGAGGCAGAAAGGCCTGCCATGGACACCTTCCCCACTCGCAGGAGTAGAAAGAGCACTGTCAAAAAGCAACTCGCGAATCCAGAGACCAGTGTGTCTGCACTCTTCCTCTAGCTACTTAAATGACTTCCCACCTCCTGCCTCTCCTTTCGGACTGCCACCAGGGCCCTGTTCTTCTCCTTCAAAACACACTCTAGGAAAACTCCACGGGCAAACTCACTGGGGCATCGTCTGGAACAACCAAAAACTGAAGGCAGCATGCATGTCTGTCAACAGGGAAATAAATACCAACACATCCATATGACATCATACTATGCTGCCCTTAAAAAGGACAAAACAGAGGCCGGCCCGGTGGCGCACTGGATAGTGCGCCGCTTGGGAAGCGCGGCGGCGCTCCCACCCGAGGGTTCGGATCCCACATACAGATCACTTCCCGCTCACTGGCTGAGCGAGGCGCGGGAGCAGCACCGAGGGTTGCGATCCCGTTGCCGGTCCCCGGTCCGGTGCGGGGGCAACACTGAGGGTTGCGATCCGTTGCCAGACACGGAAAAAGACAAAGACAAAAAAAAAAAAAAAAGGACAAAACAGAGGAGGTGGCAATTTGCAGAGCAATGCATTGCTGCTATTTGTGCATGTGTGTAGACCCCAAAGGAGAGGGGGATGGGAGGCTTGCTTATCACAGCAAATCCTTGTGTGTCTTTTGAATTTTCAACTAAGCACATACATTACCTATTTAAAACAATGTTTTCCACTGACCTTCAGCTAGGCAGAGGAAATCAATCTTCTTACATGTTTCGATGATCTATTCTAATTGTAAAAGGGGAGCCCCTTAGGCCCAGAGAGGGGGAGAGCTTTTTGAGCAAGAGGGACTGGAAGGTATATTTCATTCAAGAAGGGAACGTGGGAGGGGGACAGGAGGACCCCCCCAGGTCTCACGCCCTCCTTCATTCTTGCCACAACAACAGAAATAACATTGGCACGGGTCTGCTTCCATTAGTGTAAATTAATCTGTACCAGTTTTTAACACCAGAAATGCTTAGACCAAAGCACACGGTTTTCAGTCCGACTCACAGCCTGGAAGTCTTGCTTGCTGAAGTTGAACCTTGAGCCAGATGTTGGTGCGCTGGCCCCAGGCCCCGGGGGGCTCCACCTCCCACAGGCGCGCTCGCTCCTCTGGACAGGCCGACAGGAACCGCCTGCAGACTGACAAGACGGGCACGGGAGTCAGGACGACCCCCGCCCAGCCCAGCCCGGGTTCACTCGAAGCCAGCTCTCCCTGGTGTCCACAGACACTGTTCACTCCCGGCCCTGCCTGCAGCCACCCTGCACCCCGGGCTCTCTGCCCTGCTCCCTGCCACACGCAAACCACTTCATCCACCTGCCGTGGACGCGACCCCCTCCCCTGATCTTCCTGTGCCCCCGACTCCATCCGTCCCACCTGTCAGCTCGAGCTACTGGAAGAAAACACCTCGGACAGGGCGGCTTAAACAGTAGACACTTATTTCTCACAGTTCTGGAGACTGGAAGTCTAAGATCAGGTGTCACAGGTTTGGCTTCTCCCGAGGCCCCTCTCCTTGGCTTGCGAATGGCCACCTTCTTGCCATGTCTTCACAGCGCCTTTTCTGTTTGCACACACCCCTGATATCGCCCTCTCTTCTTATAAGGACACCAGTCATATATAGCGTTAGGGAGCCCACCCTCACTTAACCTTAATTACCTTTTTAAAGGTAATTACCGGTTTCCAAATACAGTCACAGTGAGAGCTTCAACGTACGAGTGTTAGACCACCCCACCCGGTCCTCTCCTCACTGCTGTCCTTCCTCCCTCCTGAGCCTCCTCTGCCCTCATCTCCAAAGGAACATTCCAGCCCATCCTCCACAGACTCCTTGAGTCCCCTCAAGACTCGCAGACTTCCATGCCTATGTTCACAGGGTGAGCATTTTCACAGGACAGTGCCCCGAATCCAGGCGAATGGGAAGCTCTCCTGGCCCTGCAGGTGCCCACGGGGTCCATCAGGTTCTCCCCTAACATCTGCGAGGCCCGGGACAAGAGCACTGATGGAGAGCATCAGAGCACGGTGCTAAGTGTTCAGAAGGTATAAAGCCAGCTAGCAAAGAGCTAGCAGAACATGTTCTGCCCTCCTGTCTTGACAAATATAACTTTACACCAACAGGGAGAAGCCAGTTTCAAATTTAGAATTCTTGGGCTCCTTGGAGTTTTGCACCAGAATGTGGCAATACCAAGTGAGCCGGCCCCCAGGTGGCAGCCCACCCCCTCTCCTCCCACCCCAGCTCCCCTCTGTGTGCACAAACATGGACACACCACCCACACTCCAGCTACAGCCCACAAAGAACTGTTCCTGGAGTCTAAGGATGAGCAAACTGGTGGCGTGGGCCACCCACACAAGCACAGATCCAGCCACAAAGTCCACTCAGGCCCTCGGCAGCCACCAGCAGGAATTCTGGGGTCCTAGTACCCTGAGCCACTTTAGGAGTGGCATGGGTCCAGGTGGACACGTCCTCTGGGGCCTTTGGAATCCTCACCCCCATGGAGAGCAATGCAGCTGCGAGGCCTCAAAGAGTGGGGCCAGGGCAAGGGTCCCTCTTGTCCAGCTGCAGGGCAGGATTGTATTCCATAAAGCCCTTCCAGGGACACGTGGCAGCTGAGACCCCGCAAGAAGAAGCATGAGTCAGACCCAGCTCTTGCACATCTTCTTTCTCTGCTGCACAGACGGCGAGGGGCAGCAGCCATCGCAGAACCTACAGGGTCTCAGCAGTGCTGGCCTGGGGCAGCCCCACCCTCAGAGCCTGCTGTTCCCCTGGGGAGAAGACCCCTTTCAGCTCCCTTGACAAGATAACCTGATGCCCTGAGTGGCACTGGGGGCCAACTCACCCAAACAGAGGTGTCAGTACTGAGTGAGAATGAGGAGAGGGACTGGCGGGACATAGTGTGGACAGAGGACCAGCCACCTGGGTCCCAGAACTCTCCAGCACCTCAGTGGGAGCTACGCAGCACGGGAAGCCTCGAGCGCTCTTTGCAGAAACTCAAGGCTCTTCAGAGTTTAATAATAGGCCAAGAGTCTGAAAGTACAAAGAAAAGGCTCAACCTGCTTCAGGGGATGTATGTTTTCATGGGCTTTTCTTTATGACTTCAGAGCTACAAAAGTTTCCTAACCTTTCTCTCCTATGCATCATTCTCCCCACACTGTAAGGTCCCTGGAAACTCAGTGCTAAGGGTTCAAAAATATCTATATGACAAGAAGCAAGGCAAGGTCCAACAAGGGGTGGGAGGGGGCCAAGAGAGAAGCTCTCCAGAATCTCCCACCCTGTGGGCTTGGAGTGTGACTTTTAACATCAGGGTTTTTTGATCTTCCTCTGGCAAATATGAAGAACTTGGTAAGTGTATACATAGTGTAATGATCAAATCAGGCTAATTAGTGTACCCATTATCTTAAGCATTTATCATATCTTTATAATGAGAACATTCAAAAACTAGCTATTTTGGGGCCGGCCCGGTGGTGCACTGGATAAGTGCGCCACTTGGGAAGCGCGGCGGCGCTCCCGCCCGAGGGTTCGGATCCCACATACAGACCGGCTCCCACTCACTGGCTGAGCGAGGCGCAGGAGCAGCACCGAGGCTTGCGATCCCGTTGCCGGTCCCCGGTCCGGTACGGGGGCAACACTGAGGGTTGCGATCCGTTGCCGGACACGGAAAAAGACAATAAAAAAAAAAACTAGCTATTTTGAAACATACAATACTGTTAGCTCTAGTGGTCCTACTATGCAATTGAACACCAAAACTTATCCCTCCTGTCTAAGTGTGGCTTTGTACATTGACCCATCTTTCACCATCTACCCCTCCCCCGACCTTCTCCATCCTCTGGTAACCATCATTCTACTCTGTACGTCTGTGGGTTCAACTTTTCTAGATTCTACACATGAGCAAGATCATATGGTATTTGTCTTTCTATGCCTGACTTATTTCACTTAACATAATGTCCTTCAGGTTCATCCATGTTGTCTCAAATGACAGGATTTCATACTTTTTTATGGCTAAGTAGTATTCCTGTGTGTGCGTGCGTGTGTGCGTGTGTGTGTGTGTGTGTGTGTGTGTGTGTGTACATTTTCTTTATCCATTCATCCATTGATGGGTATTTAGGTTGATTATATGTGTCCAAACATTATGTTGTACCCCATAAACACATACAATTAAAAATGTTTTAAAATTGTTCTAAGAGCTAGTACTAAGCACACAAATGAAAAAGAATATAAAGAACTTGGGAAGGACTTGGACTGAGTAGGGCAATGACGGGAAAGTGAGGGAGGCTTGTTGTGCAGGGAGAGCTCCGGGGGTGCTGGAAGGCTCTGTGCCCCCAGCACCCGCCTTTCTGCTCAGATCCCACCATCCTTCAGCACCTGGGCTGTCCTGCAGCTTCAAGTTCTAAGGACAAAGGGATGAGCTATAAACTTCGAATGAATGAGCAAATGCATTCTGTGGGCCCCATGAGCAGTTTGCAGCACAGAGACAGTTCTTGGGATTCCACTCCTCTCTGAGGTTGTTGATTTGTTTTTAATCGTTTCTAAATCCAATTATTTCTCAGGCTGGGAAAAGTTTGCTTCTTATGAACAAACATGAAGTCTCGGTGTGTGCTGAGGCAGTGGGAGATAACTCAGGAGGAAGGAAAGCCCACATGGGTGTCACAGTGCCCAGCCCCACACCTGCCTATGAGGGCTCCCGGGAACCTCCCTCCCCAGAACCACCCAGAAAGTACACGTGTTATCCATCAGCATCACCCAAATGCTTCTACATGACACTAGGTGGGTTTACCTTGATACATGGCAGGAGAAATGGGGCAACTGACCCCCAGGGCCTCATCCTCTCGGAACGTCTCACAGAAGTCCTGCAGCATAAACGTCCCCAGGCCTTGGCGACGGTGTTGCCTCCTGATGAACACGGTATCAAAGACAGGCAGCAGGTAGCATGAACCAGTGCCATCACCACACAAGCTGCCTGCAGGAAAAGTAAGACACACGCACTGTCCTCTGGGCTGGCTGCTGACCCGCCAGGACCCTGCAGGACCTCTGCACAGCCAGGGTCACTGGTACCACCTGGAAGCAGGGTTAGCTTTGCAAGCTAAAATAGAAGATCACTCTACCAGTTCTCCAGTTGACTGATCGGTTTTCTTTAAAAACCCACATGCTATGCATTGCTACAAGGGTAGCTGCTGGACCGCTGTACTGAAATGAAAGGCAAATGAGGAGACCTCCTCAGATGCCTCCCCTGACTGTGCATGCTTCACAGAGACCCTTGCAGCCAACGAGGAGTATCTGGGCAACCTCAAAGTTCTCCCTGTAAGAAGTGAAACTGGAAGCCAGGGATGTGGACTGGGAGACTAACCTGACCCATCTCTGGGGTATGGACTTGTGTTAAGTAATTCTGACAAGGGCTCACCATGACCACATGTAAAGAAAAAGAGGGGGGAAAAAATTACTCTAGACACAGATCTTAAACCTGTCACAAAAATTAACTCAAAACAGATAATAAACCTAAATGTAAATGCACAACTATAAAACTCCTAGAAGATAACATAGGAGAAAATCTAGACAACCCTGGGTATCGCAATGACTTTTTAGATACAGTACCAAATACACAACCCATGAAAGAAAAAAATCAGTAAGCTGGATGGACATCATTAAAATTAAAAATTTCTGCTCTGTAAAAGACACTGTCCAAAGCATGAGTAGACAAGCCACAAACTGGGAGAAAATATCTGCAGACGATGTGTCTAATAAAGAACTGTTATGCAAAATATACAAAGAACTCTTAAAACTCAACAATAAGAAAACAAACAACATGATTAAAAAATGGGCAAAAGATATTAACAGACACCTCACCAAAGAAGATACACAGGTGAAGCATATGGAAAAGTGTGCAACATATATCATTAGGGAATTGCAAATTAAAATAATGAGATACCACCACACACCTGTTAGAATGGCTAAAATCCAAAACACTGATAACACCAAATGCTGGAAAGGATGTGAAGCAACAGGAACTCTCATTGATTGCTGGTGGGAATAAAAAATGGTACAGCCACTTTGGAAGGCGGTTTGGCAGTTTCTTAAAAAACTAAACACGCTCTTACCATATGATTCAGCAACCACATTTTTTGGTATTTACTCAAAGGAGTTGTAAACTTATGTCCACATAAAAGCCTGCACACAAATGGTTATAGCAGCTCTATTCATAAGTGCCAAAACTTGGAAGCAACCAAAAAGTCCTTCAATGGGTGAACGAATAAACAAACTGCGGTACGTCCAAACAATGGCATATCATTCAGCACTAATAAGAAATGAGCGATTAAGCCGTGAAAGGACATGGAGGAACCCTAAGGGCATATGAAAGCAGCTAACCTGAGCAGGCTGCAATCCATCGAATTCCAACTCTATGACATTCTGAAAAAGGCAAAATAATGGAGGTAAAAAGATCAGTAGTTACCAGGGTGGAGGTGAGGGAGATGAACAGGCAGAGCACAGAGGATTTTTAGGAGAGTCAAACTATTTTATAGGATACTACAATGGTGGATGCATGCCATTAGACACTTGCCAAAACACATCGAATGTACAACACCAGGAGTGAACCCCAAACTAATCTACGGCCTTTAGTTAATAATGTATTCTTACAGGCTGAATTGTGTCTCTGCAACATTCACATGTTGAAGCCCAAATCCTCAGTACCTTGAAATGTGACCATTTGGGGGCATAAGATTTGTAAAAGAGATGATGAAGTTAAAATAAGGGCATGATGGTAGGCCCTAGTCCAAGAGGAAATCTGGACACACAGAAAGACACCAGGGATGCACAGGAAAAGGCCATGTGAGGACACAGCAAGAAGGTAGCCACCTGCAAACCAAGGAGAGAGGCCTCAGAAGAAACCAACCCTGCCAACACTTTCATCTTGGACTTACAGCCTCCAGAACTGTGAAAGAATAAGTTTCTGTCGTTTAAGCTACCAGCTTTGTTATGGAAGCCTCAGAAGACTGGTATATGTATCAATCCTGGTTCATCAATTGTGACAAATGTACCACACGAATGCAATATGGGAAACTGGAGGGAAATGGAGGGAAGCGTGCTACGGGGGAACTCTCTGTACTTTCTCAATTTGTCTGTAAACCTAAAACTTTAGCTCGAAAAATAAAATCTATTAATTTTTTTAATGTATTAGGTATTATAAAAAGAAAGCTGGACCTTTACCTAACATCAATAATAAAAAATTAATTCAAGATGGGTCATAGAAATAAATGTAAGAGCTGAAACTATAAAGCTTTTAGGGGAAAAAAACAGAAAAAAAAAATCTTCACAACCATCGGTTAGGCAAACAGTTCTTGGATTCAATGCCAAAAGCACAATCAACCTACAAATAAAAATGCATAATTTTCTTACTTCAAAAGACATCATTAAGAAAATGAAAAAACAAAAAACCACAGACTGCAAAAAAATGTTTGCAAATCGCATGTATGATAAAAAAGACTTATGCTGGAATATATAAAGAACCCTAACAATTCAACAGGGAGAAAACAAACAACCTGATTAAAAATGGGCAGAAAACTTGAACAGGCATTTCTAAAAATAGCTAATAATCAATGAAAAGATATTCAACATCATTAATCATTATGGAAATGCAAGTTAAAACCATAGTGAAATACCACTTTTAGTCTACTTGGAGAAACTGGAATTCTCATATATGACTGATGGAAATGTATCATTATACTTTGTGGAACAATTTGGCAGTTTCTTAATAAGTTAAACATAAACTTACCAAATGACCCAGCAATTCTATTCCTAGGAACCTGCCCAGAAGAAATGGAAACACACATCCATACAAAGACATGTACATGAATGTTTATAGCAGCATTGTTCATAATAGCCAAAAACTGGAAACAATTCATCAACTGATAAATGCATAAACAAAATGTGACATATTCATACAACAGAATACTACTCAGCAATAAATAAGAACAAAATACTAACACATGCTACAATTTGGATAAACCTCAAAAACACCATATTAAGTGAAAGAAGCCAGATGCAAAAGACTACATATTATATCATTCCATTCACATGAAATGTTCAGGAAAGGTAAGTTGATGGAAACAGAGCCAATCAGTGGTTGCCCACAGCTGAGATGAAAACAGACTGATAGCAGACACCACTTTCAGGGGTGATGGAAATAGCCTAAAACTGGATTTGGGTAATGATTACACAGCTCTCTCAATTTGCTGAAACTCACTGAATCACTTGTAATTGGCAACTTTTTTTTTTTTTTTTTTGCCTTTTGTCTTTTTTTTTTTTCCGTGTCCGGCAACGGATCGCAACCCTCAGGGTTGCCCCCGTACCGGACCGGGGACCGGCAACGGGATTGCAAACCTCGGTGCTGCGCCCGCCCCT